GCTTGTTGGTAATACCCTGGTAAATACAGCTCCACCCTCCAGATTGTCCCAGAAAAAGCAAAGACCCCCTACATGAGTGAAACTCTTGTGGTCACTTAGCATTTATCTATATATACTGAAGCATGAATGATTCACAGACAGATTTAAATTAATTACTTACGTTCAGTGCTGGTTGTGGCTGTAGTTGTCTGACTGACAGTAATATGAACTGGGATCTCATGGTTTCTTTCATTACACCAGTACCAGCCAGTGTCCTTCATCTCCAGTCCCCTCATTGTCACACTGAAGACTTTATTTACTCTGTCATCCCTGATCAGGACAGGCCTCCCATCCAAACTCACAGATCCCTCTGATACACAGGAGCCCCCGATCTTACACCACACCCTCTGATCATAATCATATGTATAGTGACACTGAACACTGACACTGTCTCCTTCCACACCCGTCACCTCCTGTTTGTCCACTGACAGCTCTGGGGAACCTGAACACACAGATTAGGAACAAACACTGTGATATTTGTGCATAAATAAAATACACTATGCATAAAATATGAGCCAGTTACATGTTTATATTAATGTTACCATACTTTATATAACCATATAAAACTAAACAAAAGGACAGAGAGCTGGGGGCCGGATATTGAAACCACAAGCCTGGAGGTGTGAGGCCCCCACGCTGCCCCCAGTCTCTATAATGAAAGACAACAAATTTAAATTGATGTTGTTACTTATCAATGGTCTCAGGTATGCTATTGAACAAAAGTAGAATTTGGAATCTAGTCTATATATTTTTTAAATGTTAAAATATTTTTATTCTTTCTGTGTTAGTGTCCTTCCTTTCTGACTGAATGACATGTTACATTCTGTGCATCTCATTGGCTACAGTCTGCAGTACAGACATCTTACCCTCAGTGACTGACAGGTGAACCTGATCTCCAACATCTGAACCTCCACTGATATTCACACCACAGGAGTAATAACCAGAGTCCCCAGCTGTCAGATTGTTGATGGTCACAGTGAAGACTCGCTGGTCAGGATCATCTCTGATTGACATTTTACCCTCCTGTGGAGAGTCACTGTGTACTATGGAAGAAAATGACCTCACATTATACCCTCTGCACCAGTATTTAACATGAGTTTTATATCTGTCACCATAGAAACATGGGATGGTTACAGATCCTCCTCTCTGTACAGACAACCTTTTCATTGTGGACACACCTGCAGGGACAGTATGAAAATTACCAGGCTGATTAACTTTCACTCCCTCTTACACCATTTATACACATATTAATAAAGAGTCAGTACCAGCCCACTGTAGGTTACAGTACTAAACTCTGCAGAAATATTAAACATGTTGGTCTTACTAAGTACCACTGTTTTGGAAAAACAGTTTATGAAAAGATTAACCAGTCAAGTAGCTTCACAATAAGCATAAAAATAGCTCATTTTCTGGCTCAAATTTATGTAGGCCTAACTTCTACATATTTATGACAGACATCTTACCATCAGTGACTGACAGTTCAACCCAAATACCATCTTCTGGAAGTCCATCGATCATCACACCACACCAGTAGTAATTATAGCTGTCCTCAGCTGTCAGATTGTTGATGGTCACAGTGAAGACTCGCTGGTCAGGATCATCTCTGATTGACACTTTACCCTCCTGTGGAGAGTCACTGTGTACTATGG